CAAAAAGCAGGGGATGCAATCCTAGTCTCTGATAAAACAGACTTTAAAAAAACAAATATCAAAAGAGACAAAGAAGACCCTTACAAAATGGTAAAGGGATCAATTCAACAAGAAGAGGTAACTATCCTAAATATATATGCACCCAATACAGGAGCACCCAGATTCATAAAGCAAATCCTTAGAGACCTACAAAGAGACTTAGACTACCACACAATAATAATGGGAGACTTTAACACCCCACTGTCAATATTAGACAGATCAACGAGACAGAAAGTTAACAAGGATATCCAGGACTTAAACTCAGCTCTGCACCAAGCAGACCTAATAGACAGCTACAGAACTCTCCACCCCAAATCAACAGAATATACATTCTTCTCAGCACCACATCACACTTATTCCAAAATTGACCACATAGTTGGAAGTAAAGCACTCCTCAGGAAATGTAAAAGAAAAAAAATTATAACAAACTGTCTCTCAGACCACAGTGTAATCAAATTAGAACTCAGGATTAAGAAACTCACTCAAAACCGCACAACTACATGGAAACTGATCAACCTGCATCTGAATGACTACTGGGTAAATAATGAAATGAAGGCAGAAATAAAGATGTTCTTTGAAACCAATGAGAACAAAGACACAACATACCAGAATCTCTGGGATACATTTAAAGCAGTGTGTGGAGGGAAATTTTTAGCACTAAATGCCCACAGGAGAAAGCAGGAAAGATCTAAAGTCACTACCCTAAGATCACAATTAAAAGAACTAGAGAAGCAAGAGCAAACACATTCAAAAGCTAACAGAAGGCAAGAAATAACTAAGATCAGAGCAGAACAGAAGGAGATAGAGACACAAAAAAAACGCTTCAAAAAATCAGTGAATCCAGGAGACGGTTTTTTGAAAAGATCAAAAAAAAAAAAAAAAAAAAAAAAAAAACCCTGATAGACCACTAGCAAGACTAATAAAGAAGAAAACAAAGAAGAATCAAAGAGACGCAATAAAAAAATTATACAGTGGATATCACCACCGATCCCACGGAAATACAAACTACCATCAGAGAATACTATAAACACCTCTATGCAAATAAACTAGAAAATCTAGACAAAATGGATAAATTGCTGGAAACATACATCCTCCCAAGACTAAACCAGGAAGAAGTTGAATCTCTGAATAGAGCTACAACAGCCTCTGAAATTGATGCAATAATTAATAGCCTACCAACCAAAAAAAAAAAATGCAGGACAAGATGGGTTCACAACCAAATTCTACCAGAGGTACAAAAAGGAGTTGGTACCGTTCCTTCTGAAACTATTCCAATCCATAGAAAAAGATGAAATCCTCCCTAACTCATGAGGTCAGCATCATCCTCATACCAAAGCATGGCAGAGACAAAACAGAAAAAGAGAATTTTAGATCAATATCCCTGATGAACACCGATGCAAAAATCCTCAATAAAATACTGGCAAACCTTATCCAGCAGCACATCAAAAAGCTTATCCAACACGATCAAGTTGGCTTCATCCCTTGGATGTAAGGCTGGTTCAACACATGCAAAACAATAAACTTAATCCATCATATAAACAGAATCAAAGACAAAAAACACATGATTATCTCAATAGATGCAGAAAAGCCTTCAAAAAAATTAAACAGCCCTTCATGCTAAAAACTCTCAATAAATTAGGTATTGCTGGGATGTATCTCAAAATAATAAGAACTATTTATGACAAACCCACATCCAATATCATAGTGAATGGGCAAAAACTAGAAGCATTCCCTTTGAAAACTGGCACAAGACAGGGATGCCCTCTCTCACCACTCCTATTCAACGTAGTGTTGGAAATCCTGGCCAGGGCAATCAGGCAGGAGAAAGAAATAAAGGGTATTCAACTGGAAAAGAGGAAGTCAAATTGTCCCTGTTTGAAGATGACATGATTATATATTTAGAAAACCCCATCATCTCAGCCCAAAATCTCCTTAATCTGATAAGCAACCTAAGCAAAGTCTCAGGATACAAAATCAATGTGCAAAAATCACAAGCATTTCAATACACCAATAACAGACAGAGAGTCAAATCATGAGTGAACTCTCATTCACAATTGTTTCAAAGAGAATAAAACACCTAGGAATCCAACTAACAAGGGATGTGAAGGACCCCTTCAAGGAGAACCACAAACCACTGCTCAAGAAAAATAAAAGAGGACTCAAACAAATGGAAGAACATTCCATGCTCATGGGTAGGAAGAATCAGTATCATGAAAAGAATCATTATCGTGAAAGGTAATTTATAGATTCAATGCCATCCCATCAAGCTACCAATGACTTTCTTCACAAAATTGGAAAAAACTACTTTAAAGTTCACATGGAACCAAAAAAAAGCCCACATTGCCAAGACAATCCTAAGCAAAAAGAACAAAGCTGGAGGCATCACACTACCTGACTTCAAACTATACTACAGGGCTATAGCAACCAAAACAGCAAGATATTGGTACCAAAACAGAGAGATAGACCAATGGAACAAAACAGAGACCTCATACCACACATCTACAACCATCCGATCTTTGAAAAACCTGAAAAAAACAAGAAATGGGGAAAGGATTCCCTATTTAATTAATAGTGCTGGGAAAACTGGCTAGCCATATGTAGAAAGCTGAAACTGGATCTCTTCCTTACACCTTATACAAAAATTAACTCAAGATGGATTAAAGACTTAAACATTAGATCTAAAACCATAAAAACCCTAGAAGAAGACCTAGGCAATACCATTCAGGACATAGGCATGGGCAAGGACTTCAGGACTAAAACACCAAAAGCAATGGCAACAAAAGTCAAAATTGGCAAATGGGATCTAATTAAACTAGAGAGCTTCTGCACAGCAAAAGAAACTACCACTAGAGTGAACAGGCAACCTACAGAATGGGGGAAAATTTTTACAATCTACCCATCTGACAAACGGCTAATACCCAGAATCTATAAAGAACTTAAACAACTTTACAATAAAAAATTCAAACAACCCCATCAAAAAGTGGGCAAAGGATATGATCAGACACTTCTCAAATAAAGACATGTATGCAACCAACAGGCACAAGAAAAATGCTCATCATCACTGGCCATCAGAGAAATGCAAATCAAAACCATAATGAGACAACCATCTCACACCAGTTAGAATGGCTGAAATGTCAGGAAACAGGTGCTGGAGAGGATGTGGAGAAATAGGAACGCTTTTACACTGTTGGTGGGACTGTAAACTAGTTCAGCCATTGTGGAAGACGGTGTGGTGATTCCTCAAGGATCTAGAACTAGAAATACCATTTGACCCAGCCATCCCATTACTGGGTATATACCCAAAGGATTCTAAATCGTGCTGCTATAAAGACACATGCACACGTATGTTTATTGTGGCACTGTTCACAATAGCAAAGACTTGGAACCAACCCAAATGTCCATCAATGATAGACTGCATTAAAAAAATGTGGCACATGTACATCACGGAATACTATGTAGCCATAAAAAAGGATGAGTTCATGTCCTTTGTAGGGACATGGATGAAGCTGGAAACCATGATTCGAAGCAAACTATCACAAGGACAGAAAACCAAACACCGCATGTTCTCACTCATAGGTGGGAACTGAACAATGAGAACACTTGAACACAGGGTGGGGAGCATCACACACTGGGGCCTGTCATTGGGTTGGGGGCAGGGGGAGGGATAGCATTAGGAGGAATACCTAATGTAAATGACGAGTTAATGGGTGCAGCACACCAACATGGCACATGTATACATATGTAATAAACCTGCATGTTGTGCACATGTACCCTAGAACTTAAAGTGTAATAATTAATAAATAAATACATAAATAAATATATAAATAAGAAAAAGTAAACATTTTTTACTTTATCAGACCACAAGTTGAACTGAAAAGAACTAGGAAGAGTGATAGCCTTGAAGGACTAACCCATTTTCCGTATACTGCCTAACTCATTTTTGTTTGATATATAAATATTATATGATAAAGGTTATTTGAAAAATTCTATACCTTAGAGATCACCAGTGTGTAAATATATTTTTCCATATTCTGTGAGTTTAAAAACTTTATACAAGATATTGGTATGTATCTATTAATCTAAAATACTTAAATATTTTCATTATGGTCCTTGCAATTGATCTTCCTCTTTCTGCACCTTCCTTCCCCATTGAAGAAGAATCTGCATCAACCATTCAGATTACACCAAATAAGTATCATTTTTCATATTTCAATTCTATTTCATTAAGCAACCCATCTTCCTAGGTTCTTTACTAATTAGCCACTAAACCCCAGGCTTTTCTTTACAGTTCAGGGTAAATATGTGTAGCCTAAGATGTCCTAACTCCAAGGAAGGGGGAGGAGGAAGGGTAGAACTTCGTGAAAAAAAGAAAAAGATGCACGCATGGATCAGAAGAAGAAATAGAAAGGGTCCTAGAGTCTGCCAAGAGCCCACTTTCTGGCTCACAGGTGGGAGCACAGCCTTGCTAGGCAAGTCCTAGCTTGCAGACAGTATAAAATAGGAGCAGACATGAAGAAAGGAATTAATGTACTTTCCATTAAACATATCTCTTCTGCAAATGTAGTCATCGCTGATAATGTACAATTAGAGGTAGGTGGGTGTGTCACAATGAAGTCAGATAACTTTCCTATTCATCATTTTGTCAGAGCTGATAAAATTTAGAACTGACCAAGTTCTCTGTGTGTTCGTGCACTCACTGAAGGTACCAATAGCAGTGAAACTGTCCCTGTCTCAAAATGGTTGAAAGCAGAGATTTCATAAAAGTTTTCTGAAACTGCATGCCTGAAAGGAGGAGATAGGTGTTAAATCAGCATAGAATTGTAAAACTATTTTGTACTCTTAACATGCACACTTCATTCACCCAAAATATTAGTTATGAATTATCCTAAAGAAAAAAAAAAAAAGGTAGGAAAGCAGGTGGGTTGCCATTCTGTATAAGCAGACCACACCCCATACTCTACCTGCGCCCACCACTAGGGCTGTGGGCCCACAGGCGCGGATGCAATTCAGGAGGGAGTTGGAGCGAATGTTGGAGTTGAGAAAGGCCACCACGCAGCCCAGCTTGGCGAGGCCGAACCACACGTGAACGAAGTCCGGCTCATTGCTCATCAGTAGAGCCACGGTGTCCCCCTTTTTCAGAGAGGAATGGTTCAGGAAAACATGGGCCACTCTGCTACTCCTTTTGTCTACATCCTGATAGGTGTAGATGTCTCCCTCATAGATGATGAAAGGTTTCCGAGGTTGTCTTTTGGCATGACTCAAGAATTTATCCAGTACAGTCACCAGCTCCCCTCGCTTTTCGTACTTCTTCAGCCGAATTATAACGAGCACCACCTTCACCAGGAATAAGAAGTCATCCCAAAAGTAAGGGAACAGGAGTTTCTGCACGAAGTGCAGGACGACCATTCCAGCCCCTAGAACTGTTAGCCATGACAGAAGCATGGGGGCCACGGGACCAGAAGGCAGCTCTGATCTCAGCCCCACCAGCGTCCTTCTCTTCCAGGCACAGCTCTCCGCGGGGACCACTGGTCCTCACTACTCAGGGCTTACACCTGAAGTTCTTGTCAGCTTTTCCCGGGCGGAATGGGGTGGGGAGGAATCCTGAGAAACAGAATCAGAGCTTTGCACTGAAAAGGTCGCCCCAAGTGGTGCTGAAGATTAATCTTGGGTCACTGGGCGGCTGGAGAGCAGGGAGCCTCCGACTCCTGGGAGAAACCAACACAGCCACCCTCAGGGGTCTCGGAATCTAGGACCCCAGCGCTGCGCCCTCGCCTCCCAACCGCGACAGCGGCCCGTGCTCTGCGGGTTCTCCAGGACTTTCCAGCCCTCTTCTCTGTGAGGGCTGGGTCAGTCCTCCCTGATTCTGCGACCCTAAACAAACCTCACCACCCTCAGAAGAAGGTACAGGGACAGAAGCTTTTCTCCTCTCAGGTAGTCTTTCCCGTGATCTTGAGTTGGAGGCTGAATTCCAGCCGAGAAAAGCTGGGGTGATGATGACTGCGAAGCGCAGTGATTTAAAGTCTCTACGCACCAGAAACCGCGCAGGGGCTCAGGACCACGCCTCTGCCCGTGGCCGCAGGGCCAGCGAGTTCCAGGACTCCTGAGCGCTGCCCGCGTCCAGCCCCGCCCAACCCCGCCCAGTCCCTCGGATGCAACGGGTCCCCGAGAACTGCTCCTAGGTGACCCACACGCCCACTGGAAGGGGCTGCCCCTACCCCAGCCGCAGCTCGCACTCCGAGTGTCGTTAGGCTGGCCTAGTGTAGCTCTCCTCCGAATCGCGGCAGGAGTGTTGCCCCCCTCCTTCGGCCTCCAGGCTCAGTGCCAACCACTTCCACTGGAGTGCCGCAGCTGGAACTGCCTGGGCCCCTCCGCCAGCTCGTCCCTGGGCGCGCGTCTGGAGAAGTGTGTCATGCCGACCTGCTCACACCCCAGGGAGGAGGCCCGCGACTGGCGTCTCTGGCGGGGAAGAATGTGACAGTCCCGTGGGGGGAAACCTAGGGATCTGGAAGGCTTGGGGTCACAGGAGAACCAGGGTTGCTAGAATTGGGCGGCGCGGGGGCCCTGGCGAGGCTGGTAAGGTAGAACAGTGTCGCACAAAAGGTCACCCATTGAACCAGTTAATAACTAGAGAATGGAAAGAAAAGAACAAACACCAAAAAACTGCAGAGAGAGAGAGAGAGAGAGAGCAGCAGGGAGGGAGGGAGGGAAGGAATATTTATGAACTGGACAGATCCAATTATTTTTGTAAGAAAGGCATATTTGGACACATCACAAAACTGTACTGTTCTTTACAAAAAGTATTTTTGGAAAACATATTGATAGATTGGTTTTTACATTTATATTAGAACTCTGTCGTTAGAGGGCCAAGACAGTGCATTTTACAAAATCTGGCAACAATATTGATTGACAGCTTCAGTCGATATTCATATTTAAAAATAAAACGAAGTTTATAATGCTATTTTCAGTCCTTAAAAATAACAGGATTCCCCCCTCCCCGAGACAGATCATTTAAAGAATTATGTCTTCAAACTAAGGATTCTAAAGGGAGTGGGGAGAAGTAACAAGTTAGTGGAATGGATAACAAAATTTTATACGAAGATGAAATTGTACTAAAGATAAAAAAACTAAAGAACATTTCATTACACGTATTTTTTCTAGCAGACACCATCATCCTAGCTGTCTGCTTTTAAGTGAATATAAATGGTTAATTGCATGTGTTAAAATAATTAAGGATGGCCTCAGCTTGTCAGGTGTTTCTCTCTTCTGCCTTATGTTCTGCAGATGGATTCTGGCTAACCTCAGATTCTGTAATAAAAGAAAAACTGATAATTCCAAAGACGAGCTCCAGTTTATTCATCTGAAAATGATTACTTTGAAGTCACAGTGAAGAGCTCTCTGAAAGCCAAAGGAACATAGGCTCTTAAAGCCCTTTTCTGTAAATGACACAAAAATGCTTTCTAAATTTACTCAGAAGCTCTGATCTTTTCGATTCAGAAATATCTTTTTAATTAAAAAATAGTATCAAGTAGCTTATAACTTGCAATGTTAGTTTACAACTTGAAAAACGTCTTTGACATTCTATTGTTTTCTCTTCTAGCTTTAGTCTACTTAAGTCACCTCCAAATAACATTTAAAGAACACAAAAGAATATGAAGCAGTTGGTCTCAGACTTTTGTAGTTTTAATGAGTCAAATCTGTCCTTCTACAGAGGAGATACAGAAAGATAGGCGTGGCATTTCTTTTATCTTGCTACATTTAAAACATTAAGCACATATTACAACACTGACCATCTACTGTTACCATTGTTTCATAAAGAGAGGATTTATTTCAACATTTTAAAGAAGGAAGGGAATGCCATTTATAATAGAGGACCACATTTTAAAATGAATAAAATTAAATTCACAAAAAAACTCATTTTGCTACACTTATTTTTCTTATCATGGACATTCTAATACCATCCTAAAGCATGAAACTAAATTTTTAGCAATTACAGATACAATGAATCTAGAATATATTCAGCACCATAAATGTGAGCTTGTTTGATTTATTAGGAAGAACTACAAGTAAGTATATGTTGGGCCAGAATTTGTACTAACCCAAACCAATTTTATGCCTGAAATCTCACCATGGAAGAAGTAATCAATGAAAAATCTTGGGACAGTTAACAGTATTGTGTATATACCTATATTAGCCCATGTATCTGTTTCTATTTTGTCCAGAAATTTTGCATTCACTTTCAAATGCTACCAAAGGCAGCTAAGTAAAATAAATACAATTTTTAGCTAGAATAATTAGTATTTTGAAATGGGAGAAATACAGCGACAGTTAGTTGCAAGTGAGTAAATCTATTATTTCACTAAAATAAAGAGAAATAAACACATAGAAATAGTCTAGACATTCCTGCTAACATTACTTTTGAATAGGAATAGTGTGATATTTCTCTGGTTCTCCTTTAGAAAATATAAAGACTGTATGTTTTTCTTTAATGTAACTTGAAAATAAAAATATTGTAACTAAATGAAAATCAATGCCAAAAAAAGTTTATTTTTAATCTACATATGGTCTCCTCAACCCCTTCTTCATTTCTGATTTGACTTTCCTCTTTAACCCACTACCGACCACCGTTGCACCCTCAGCTCTGTAGAAGACAAATTGTTTAGTGAGTAGACCAAAGTAAGACTGAACAAATAGCAACATATGACAGACATGGAGCCCACAGGATTTTGCCACTCTAGCCTAAGCATTCTGACTCTGTGCTGTCAAATCACTTGTCTTCATGTCTTCTGATGCAATTCTATAGCAGTCATCATTTGGATTATGGGAGGTTTCAGTAAAAACCAAGAAATTTAGAAAGATGCCAAACAATGCTGGGTTGGTGGCTAAACATCATGATGAGTGCTTGAAATGGGCCAAGAAACTCTGACTATCTAGACTGCAGCTGGGTCTTGGGAAAGGGGATGGCAGTGAAGTGAGTGAGGGAGTTGGATGGCTCTGAAAATGAATGGGAGAATGCTGGATGTAGGAGTCATCCACTTTACAATTCTACCTGGGAATGGGGTCCTGCTCAGTTTTTAATTACTGCTTTTAGGATCTGATGATAACTTTGGTTTTCATGGGAAGTTTACTCTTCCTATAATCTAATGTTTATTTGTATTAATGAATAATCATTGTCCAGATTATTACTCAACACAAGGACTCATGAAGCAAACTGAACATTAAAAATAAGAGGCGTGCACGGAGCGTTGCTCACTGCTAGCACAGCAGTCTGAGATCTAACTGCAAGGCAGTAGCAAGGCTAGGGGAGGGGGGTCTGCCATCGCAGAGGCTTGAGTAGGTAAAAAAGTGGCAATGAAGCTCGAACTGGGTGGAGCCCACCACAGCTCAAGGAAGCCTGCCTACCTCTGTAGACTCCACCTCTGGGGGCAGGGTATAGCTGAACAAAAGGCAGCAGACACTTCTGCAGACTTAAACATCCCTGTCTGACAGCTTTGAAGACAGCAGTGGTTCTCCCAACATGCAGTTTGAGATATGATAACAGACAGACTACCTCCTCAAGTGGGTCCCTGACCCCTGAGTAGCCTAACTGGGAGTCACCTCCCAGTAGGGGCTGACTGACACCTCATATGCTGGGTGCCCCTCTGAGATGAAGCTTCCAGAGGAAGGATCAGGTGGCAACATTTGCCATTCTGCAATATTTGCTGTTCTGCAGCTTCTGCTGGTGATACCCAGGCAAACAGGGTCTGGAGTGGACCTCCAGCAAACTCCAACAGACCTGCAGCTGAGGGTCTTGACTGTTAGAAGGAAAACTAACAAACAGAAAGGACATCCACACCAAACCCCATCTGTACATCATCATCAAAGACCAAAGGTAGATAAAATCACAAAGATGGGGAGAAACCAGAGCAGAAAAGCTGAAAATTCTAAAAATCTAAAATCTAAAAAGAAGCACCTCTTCTCCTCCAAAGGAATGCAGCTCCTCACCAGCAATAGAACAAAGCTGGGTGGAGAATAACATTAACAAGTTGAGAGAAGAAGGCTTCAGATGATTGGTAATAACAAACTTCTCTGAATTAAAGGAGGATGATTGAACCCATCACAAAGAAGCTAAAAACCTTGAAAAAAGATTAGACAAATGGCTAAGTAGAATAAATTGTAGAGAAGACTTTAAATGACCTGATGGAGCTGAAAACCATGGCATGAGAACTACATGACCCATGCACAAGCTTCAGTAGCCGATACGATCAAGTGGAAGAAAGGGTATCAGTGATTGAAGATCAAATGAATGAAATGAAGCCAGAAGAGAAGCTTAGAGAAAAAAAAGTAAAAAGAAATGAACAAAGCCTCCAAGAAATATGGGACTATGTGAAAACACCAAATCTACATCTGATAGGTGTATCTGAAAGTGACGGGGAGAATGGAACCAAGTTGGAAAACACTCTTCAGGATATTATCCAGAGCTTCCCAACCTAGCAAGGCAGGCCAACATTCAAATTCAGCAAATACAGTGAACACCACAAAGATACTCCTTGAGAAGAGCAACCCCAAGACACATAATTGTCAGATTCACCAAAGTTGAAATGAAGGAAAAAATGTTAAAGAGAGAAAAATGTTAAAGAGAGAAAGGTCAGGTTTCCCACAAAGCGAAGCCCATGAGACTAACAGCAGATCTCTCAGCAGAAACTCTACAAGCCAGAAGAGAGTGGGGCCAATACTCAACATTCTTAAAGAAAAGAATTTTCAATCCAGAATTTCATATCCAGCCAAACTAAGCTTCATAAGTGAAGGAGAAATAAAATCCTTTACAGACAAGCAAATGCTGAGAGCTTTTGTAACCACAGGCCTGCCTTACAAGAGCTCCTGAAGGAAGCACTAAACATGGAGAGGATCAACTGGTACCAGCCACTGCAAAAACATGCCAAATTGTAAAGATTATCAGTGCTAGGAAGAACCTGCATCAAGTAACGAGCAAAATAACCAGCTAATATTGTAATGACAGGATCAAATTCACACATAACAAAATTAACATTAAATGTAAATGGGCTAAATGCTCCAATTAAAAGATTGGCAAATTGGATACAGTCAAGACCCATCAGTGTGCTGTATTCAGGAGACCCATCTCACTTGCACAGACACACATAAGGCTCAAAATAAAGGGATGGAGAAAGACCTACCAAATGGAAAACAAACAAAAAAAAAAGCAGGGGTTGCATTCCTAAGTCTCTGATAAAACAAACTTTAAACCAACAAGGGTCAAGAGACAAGGCCATTACATAATGGTAAAGAGATCAATTCAACAAGAAGAGCTAACTATCCTAAATGTATATGCACCCAATACAGGAGCACCCAGATTAATAAAGGAAGTCCTTAGAGACCTACAAAGAGACTTAGACTCCCACACAATAATAATGGGAGACTTTAACACCCCACTGTCAATATTAGAC